CGTGAAAGAAGTCATAGGACGGACGGAGTAGGACCTTCCAACGGAGTTGGAGTGGGGACAGGTCGTGGTATACCCTCAGTCCACGAAGTTCAGGAGGGCAGTTGTCCGAATAGAGCACTTTCTTGGCCCTCAAAACCCGCACCTTCTCCGCCAGGTCATTAAAAGCTATAATGACCGGGCGGGTGCGCGTTGATGAAAAGCGTCCGGCCCGGAAGCAATTCCGGGTCCGGACCGGCCCGCCGGCGAGCTCCGCCAAGGCGCGGGAGACTTTCGCCTCCAGGTCCTCCTGCGTCTCTTGCTCGGCGTCAACGAGTCCGCGAAGGCAGACGTTGAGGCGGCGGAGTTCCGCCTGAAGCGCCAGAACTTCATCGATTCGCGCCGGCCGGATCGATGCGGAGTACTGCGACATGCGCCTCGCAGCGAGCTGCGAGTGAAACATGCCGGTTTGGCGCCGGCGCCAAGGTGGGGGCGCGTCAAGATCGGGGAGGCCGCCATCCGGCTCGGGGGCCGGGCGCTTGGAGGGGCCAGGCGCTGCAGCATCAGCGCCGAAGGTGGCCTGATCTTCGGGGGAGGGCGATGACGGGTCCGCGAGTTCCATTTCCGTAGGCCGGGCCTTCGCGCCATCCATAGCTTCCAAGGGGCAGGTTCGCAATGCGGGCGGAACGGAACCCGCAAAGGGGTCCTCTGCACTCGCGGGGAAGTGCCTTGACGGCGGGGAGGTGCGGGGGAGATCGCCCCGCATGTCTCGCCGGACGGCAACGGGAGAGCGTCCCCTCCGAGGGGGGCGCGAGGAATCCGCAGAAAGGGTGCTGCATGGCGAGGACGGCCGTGCAGTATTGGCTGCAATCGTCAGGTCTTGGGTAGGGAGTCTTGGGGCCACTTCTTGGGCAGCGGGGGGCAAGGCGATTCCAATGGCAGCGTCGCGGGGGGCAGGTCCTCCTCCGGCGTCCATGGCCTGCGGCTCGGAGCCGCGAATGGCCTGCGGCTCGGGGCCCCCCCTGCTGACCGCCCGGGTCGCAGCGTCCGCCGCTGCGTGCGCGATTGCGGCGTCCCTTCGCCGCCGCGTAAGCTCCGCCCGTATCCGCCGCATCAAAGTCGCCTTGGGAACGTTCATGTTCCCCCGAATCCCGAGCCGGCGGTACTCGGCAACAAGCACATGCTTGTTCCGCCGCGCCAACTCGTCGCAGTAAGCCGCGACGGCGTTCGCCTCCCCGGAAACGTGGAACCCAGGGGGGGTTCTTTCCGGATGGACTCGCGCGGGGGCGCCGAGCAGGTCGGCCTCCCCCGTGACGCCGCGTAACCGCGCCGTAACGGCCCGGGGCGAGGCAGCACCAGAAAAAGAGCGGGAGAGCGCCATGGCAAGAAAAATTGTGTGTGTGTGTGTGTGCGTGCAACACTTGGAACTAGTGGAATTTGAGTGTATAGGCTGCGAAAACTTGAACTTCATTGCAGGGGGGAATGAATTGCTCTTCTCCAGAAAGCAACAATACCGCCAAAGAGAGCTGACGTTTACCTCCTTGTCTTGTGTTGCACAACTTCTTGAGCATTGGTTGATTTTGGGTACAGAAAGTGGGGAGCATCGCGAAGCCTCTCGATCGCTGCAGTCGCACCAACGCCTTGATACACCGATGTTGTGCAAAGCCAAGTCACACACGTGATGGGCCTCGTGGATGAATCCTTGTGTTGCGAGGATGGCACCCACCACCAGGATGTGCAGCAATGCTGCTGGATTGAAGGGCACAAATGGGAGCTGTGGATCTAATGCAGAGTTGCGACACTAAGATGCAGAGAGGATTGCGGACTGTCAGAACGCCTCATGTCAGGATGCACACCAATAAATGAGTATATGGAGCGCGCAGTTCTGCGAAAATATGATCGCAACGGGGACCAGGAGTGCGGAGGAGAGAGGAGCATCGCTCTGAACATGGAAGCCCATCCTTCATTTCCGGCAGAAAATAAAGCAGATACAGTGCCTGGTTTTCTTCCAGTCTGAGTCAATGACTGCTGCACATGTGAATGACTTCTGTGCACCCAGACTGCTGCTGTGTGTACTTACGAACAACCTATTAGCCTACAAGAACATCAGGCTCATGCAAACACTGCAACCGCTGCAAGTCCCACAAGGGCCACAGGCCCCATACCTGGGTCGATAGAATGCTCATACACTAAACAAGGCATAACCCACATCTACCCGTGCGCCTGGCTAGTACAGCAAATGTAGCTCAACATGAGAGTTCTGAGCTCAATAACGGTCGCCTATACTTTTTTGGAAAGTGCAAAAAACACCTCAACACTTGCATCCAACACTGCTAAGCTGCCTTTTCCTGTTCTCCTGTTGTACAGCCCAATTGTGCACGACAACACAGGTCAGCAACAATGTCCACCTCAAAACCCCAACGAGCACTTGCTGGATCCAGTGCTCAATGTGTTCCATGCAGAACATGTCTCCAGCACCACAACGGTGTACTCCTGCTTGCCCACCTGTGAGTGCTATGGTATGAAGCCTAACGCCAGAAAGCAATAATGTCCCCAGCAGGGACAGTGTAGGAGGAAGGAGGAGGTGCAAGCTGATAAGAACAGCCAGATGTGCATGAGAAGAAAATGGAAAGACAGTGGGAAACCGATGCGCAAGCAACTGACACCAACCAGCCATTGCAGCCTGTCCCCCACTGGCAACAGTGCCTGCAAAGCCATAACCAATCCTGACCTCACTATTTTCAAGCCATTCCCAGTGCATGCCAGAATTTGTCCAATTTCAAGCACCTGAACAGAGCAACCCTCTGCTACACCCCCTTCGCAGCAATAAGGCCACTGGGCTGGTATCTGTGGCCTCTGCTCAGCCACAGCACGCAGCCTTGAAGTCAAATGTTGAGCACCACAATGTCATCGCGGAAAGTGCAGGGGCACAGAGACTGGACCCAGAACTGAGATCGCTGAGGAGATTGCTTAGATGGTGGTCTGGAGCAAGGGCACGTCTCACTAAGCAACACCACAATCAAACAATCTACTATGGTGCCATGCACGCACTGCAAAGTCGACGCAGTCCTGATGCAGGCAACCGGTATAGTTCCTGGTGGAATGACTCCCAGCACGTGTGGGGCCTCTGTCAAACAGACAGCCACAATTGTTTGCAACATCCTGCGCTCCTCAGGCAAGGTGGTGGGTGTGCATCGGGTCTTGTGGCCTACGTGGGCATCTCCTGGGGGCGTTGGCCAGGTGGCACATATGCCCCAAAACCTGGTCTCACACGTACCTCTCTCCTCTGCCTGCTGCACCGCAAGCTAGGGGCGTCTTGGGAGATGCTCCCATCGTGGTTAGACCTCGTAGTCGCTTCTCTAGGGGGGGTAGATGCCTCACCTGCACTCCCATTGTCCTTTTGCCCCTGTGTTCCTTTGCCCACGCCAGTCCCTTTGTCAACTTTTTCAGTTGGTGGCCGAGATGCAACCTCTGGGTTCTTGTTGTGCGGAGGCGTGTAGGCGCCGTATCCGGCCCTCACGCGCACCTCTCGCCTCCTGGGCTTGGGCGTGTCCTCCAGTTTGCACTTTGAGCACAATTCGTCGGCCAACTTTTGCTCTTTTCTCACTGCGGCACATCAGCAGGGACGGCGTCAATGTCTGTGCGCATTGAAAAGGGCAGAGCAAACCCACTGGGCCGGCACAAACAAGGTGAGTGTGGTTGTAAGAGCAGCGTGCAGCAATCTTTCACAACGAAATCTCGACATCAAAAGGCTTGCAGAATCAGATAAACGAATGCTTGACCTCCATCGAAACGCAACGCTGCCAAACAGACGCGGAACAGGAAAAGGAGTCCTGATCGTTGTGGTTCAACAGCCAGAACTCACTGTCGCTGGTCCGTTCAACCCGCTGCTGCGACTGCTCCTCCTCGTATTGCCGCCGGGCCAATTGGTTATCAACCTGCAGACCAAGCGAGACAAGCAAATCAGCCATTGCGCTTGGACTACCAGATACGTCAAGTGCCTCTTGCCCTCGCATATTCTTCTCGACTGGTGTCCGTGGACGCCACCAAGTCGCTTCTCAAGGGGCTAGGCGTGATCCGCGACAGCAGCTGACATCGCTCAAGAGCACGCGTGTGCAAAAACGGCAAGGGAAAATGTGTTTCAACGGAACGGGCGCGCCATTCACGCACTATGAACTTCATGAAGCCATGCTCCAGGTTCAGCCTTCGAGGGGCCAGCTGCGATTCTGGTCCCGCTGTGCCTCCGAGAATGGCAGGCGATGTGTCGCTGTCACCTTCTCCTCCGGCAACTGAGCCACCGCGGGTGGTTGGACGCCCCTCCATGGCCGACCGCAGTGGCGCCCTCCCTGCAGCTTGGAAGATGGGTGTGGCGCTTGCCGGTGGGATGTTGCGGCCAATTGAGGTGGCCACTGTGCTTGCAGGGCGATGCCGATGCCCAATGCCCATGTGCCCTGCCCGCCCAAAATCCTCTTGGCACTCCGGATTCTATTGCCCTTGTTTTCTTGGGGTTGGAAAATAAAAAGCACTTCTGTTGCGCTCAATTTCTGTGCAAACATCCTCACTGAGACCCGCCCAAGGTGTGTGCAGTCAACTCCCTCCCTGTGCAGGAAAGGAATCCTGCCCGCTGCTCTGTGCTCTGGGCCGCAGCGTCACCCAGCCATGGAGGACTGCGCAGGAAGGATGGTCATGCTGGGGAGGCTGCCGTCGTCTTCTGTACGGTTTGACTTGCGACCCGCGACAACAGACCGCTGGCCGCCTTGCCAGCTTCCACATATCTTTGCCCGGAAGCGGAGCATGTTCTTTCGTTTTGGAATAAACAGTCGACCCACCAACAATCGATCCGCAAACAATTGATCCACTTGGAGGTTCCTTGGGGTTTCGGAACATGCACTCAAGAGAAGCACAACATACCATGGCCTGTGTCAAGGCCATGCCAAGGCCCTTTGGAACGTGGCCAAGGGGAGTGGTTTGGCAGAAGACGGGCAGTTTGGCGTGATCCTGCTACAGCCTTTTGTTGCTGCCAGACATCTTCCAATCTGGAAGTACCCTTCCGTGTTCGATTGGCAGACTGCAATGCACCCTTGGAGAAGATTGAAGCCCGAGTGGAGGCAAGTCTCTTTCCCAACATTTGGGGAATCGTGACCTGACCTGAATGCTGGCACAAAATTCGCATTCATTGCTTGCTCATCACTTCCCAGTCGTGATGGGCCATTGAAATTTGTGCGACAGAGACACATTGGTGCACTGGGTGCTGGGCAAGCTCAAGCACAACAAGAGCAGGAGAATATCAGAGAGAGACTGGAGCAAATGGTGAACAAAATTTGCACGTTTGAGCATACCATGCGTTCACAATTGTGATTGCTTGACAATTCAACGGGAAACCCCAGGAAGGTTTCAGTAACCTGGAACTGCAACGTGGCCATGAGGAAGCTTGGCCAACCCTGAGGCCCATCATGTGGCCTCAACATGCTGCAACGATGTGCTGAACGACCTTGCCTGGGCAGTGAGGCCACAGACTCCAACAAACTGCAGCTGGTGATGCAGCACAGCACTCCTGACTCAAGTTCCACAACATTTAAACTGTGGATGGGTGTGTGCTGGTGTAGCAACTGAAAGCAGAAGAGCTGGAACATTTCCAAGGACGGGTGAAGAGGAGGGCAGCAAAGATGGAAAAGAGAATCAGGGCAGAGAAGCTCAGTCAGACAGTTGAGGCAAGTACTGCTCTGCACAGTCATCGGCAAGGGATTTATTTGTGTGCGCCTGCCTATCGATGGGAGTTCACAATGCAGACAGCTGAGGCCTCCCAATTTGGGGGAAATGAAATTTTTGGATGGAGGTGGGGCATTGCAGATGCACAGCATACATTTTCATTCATGTAGGTGAGTACTGGCGATGTGCTGTGCAGGTCGAAGGTCAAAAAGGGAGGCTAGCCCGGTTGAGGGAGTATGGCAAGCATGTGCAACAGAGAAACACTGCAAAACTCAAGAGGTCCACACGCCCATCCAAGGCATGGTTTGAATGCATGCACTGTATTTGTGCAAAACCAGCTTGTGTACAAGTGTACTGCAGAAGGCTGATCTGATAGATGTGGGACAATGTCTTGGCGTCAAACTTGCATACTTCCTCCCTTCCCTTCTCTTTTCTCCTTTGGAGCATTGACATCAGCACAAGGGTATACACTGCTGCACAACCCATAAACGTTTTATAACCATGGGGGACACATGCACAAGCGCATTCGTTATCACAGTGGAAATTCAACATCGATGGCGAGCAACGTTTTCCTTGTGTTTCAGGTGCTACAGACCACCTCTTCACAGTCTGCACAAAATAGACTTTATTGCAATTTTGGTGTTCATGCATGCTCTTGAACTTGGCAGCACAGAAATTTGAATGCTGTTCCCCCCCTAAATGACAAAATGAGGCATACATAGCCTTGCAGTGGTGCTCACCTTCACCATATGCACCTAAAATCACATTGTGCTTGGCGGATTGCCTGTTGGGCTGAACAGGGTGGGAATACGAAGATGCCCTGTCATCTGAACACTGAACGGTTGCCTGCCGGTGACCTTCGCGAATCCCATTGTGAGCAGCCATTACACCAGGGGACGCTGGCACAACCACTGCCAAAGGTAAGAAATGTAGTCCATCATTGTTGGCATTTGGGTTGAGGGCCAAATGTGCCACACACGCGTGCGCGCACGCATGCTGTGTGCCTGCTTATAAGGGGCTGCTTCACTGTATGATCTGCGTTTTGGCGCTTGGCATTGCGTCTTGACATTAGCACACACACTTTGATCTGTTCATGTGTACTTCTGGCATCGGGCGATACCCTGACCTATAACAGCAAAGTCTCCTGAAGCCAGGAGTCATCAGGAACAGTATGCTGCTAAAAAGAGAGCACCAAGACTCCCAATATTAAACAAGAGCGCCAAGTTGCACTACACAGCTGAAGATGAAAGCACACAATCACAAGAGCGGCAGTGCCATGAACATTGGCCAAGACCCCTTGCATGTGATTGAGTTGACCTGGTTGTTGCCAAGCATTTTTGTCAAGCTTCCCCAGCGGAAATCCATTTTTCTTTCCATCACAATGCAATAACACCTACAGCATGGAAAATGTGCCCCTTTTTCAATTCTCGAGAATGTGCGGGAGATGTGCAGCATGTGGCCAAGTGTGCTTGGTGAGAAAGAGGATGGGAAAAAGAGAATTCGCAGGGCCTGGGTTAGTCTATGTTGTGGAAGTGTTTCTCCCTTTCTTGCTACATGAATCTTGGTTAGGCTGTGTACATGTGTGAGGTTTGGTTTTCAGGTGACAGACATGTTGGACACCTGTTCCTGCATCTGGGGAGTGCATGGCGTGGGATAGGATACAGTTTTCATGCCAGTGTGGTGCACCTGCATCCCTCAGGTGATGTCAAGGAGATTCCTCTGTCACTGAACGTCTTCTGCTTGCCAAAGGTAGCTGTCATCAGGGAAGTGCCCAAAATATCAGAGGAGCAGTTGCAAGAACTTACAATGCAGCGCCAAGCAACAGCTTCCAAGCAGAAGAAGACTTCCTCAGCTGCCAGAAAATCTAACAATAGGAGTCATGCTTTGGCAGTAAGGGGATGCTTCAACCAACATTACTCACCTGCAGCAACATTCATGCAATTGTGTGCAGAGCAACTTGGCCGCCTTTTTGCTGCAGACATTCTTGGTGAATGTACTTCACAATTGCCAGTCGCTTACCTCAGCCACCAGGTTTCATAGTCTGCCAACTTTAGTTCCTGTTCCAACGATCCTTTGGCCTTTGCAGGATATGAATGATGGCGCCACCAGTGCTGATGTTGATCCTATAGCACAATCAGAGACGAATGGTTCAGCAAGTGAAAAAGAGCTGGGCTTGTGGGAGACACCACAATTGGAGAACGGAGGCGCCACGTTGGATAACGGTACAGCTTTAGCAACCCGCCATGCAAATTGACCATGAGCACACACCAGCCAACTTTTACCCTAACCTGCACAAGAGGTGGTGTGTGCACTATCACCACTGACTTGTGCTCACATTATGTGGTTCTGCTTCAGCTTATGACCAGCCTTGGAGGAACGGAACCGCAAAGAGAGGACTTGCAGATGAGCAGCACAATGCGCGCGCGAGCGACAGAGCTCGGGAAATGATGCTCAGCCATGTTGACAAATGGGAGCCACAGATGGCAGGCAGCCTGGGCGTCAGAGCTGTGGAACCAGCCTTCAGTGCCCCCAAGGGTGACCTTCCCACGCTTGGACCGCTGGGCGAGCAGTCGTGGCAGTCAGTGCGATGGCGGTCCTGGCAGACTGTGGAAGGCAGCCCGTCGCCAACGCACAGGTTTGCAGGCTGGCGTTTAGCTTCGCTGCCAGAATCGCTTGCCATCGCCTCTGCTTGTTCGAATGCTGCACTGCTCAGCTCCGGTGTTGAATGAGCGCAGTTGCCGTGGGCATGCTGCCAACTGCATTTTCAGCAAAAAGGCTGGACTGCGCCCTGGTGTGTGTACTCTCCTGTCAGTTGAGGCTCAATCCGTTTATCTTGCAGTTGACTTTCCAGCAAACAAAGCATTTCGTGCCCATGAAACACAAAACAACACAACATGAGCTGAAAGGAGGACAGGGACTGTCCTGTAAAATCCAACAAAGGGGTGTCTATTTCCATGCCAGACTGCAGAAACTTTGGCAACATTCACTTTCCAGGAAGGAAGAGTGGTAGCACCTCCTTGGTGTATTGTGCATAACACGGTGGAGCAGGCAGGCTTCGTTTCTGCTGTGCCCATGCATTCCAACACCCAAGCGCACTGCGCTTCTACTATAGGACACAATGCTCTTTCATCATTCACTGGTTGTGCAATCCACCATCCATTGAATGTTGTGTGCAGGAAAAATTCTCTGGATGCCTGCGAACCCACAGGGCAACGATTGAACGAGAGGATTGGCTGTGCACCAGTCACTGCGAACGGGTCCAGGACAAAAGCAGCAAAAAAACGCGTCGATGCTGGGTTGCTCAGCAATCCCACAGCCAAGGCAAGTTTGCAAGCAAAGGTGAGGTTGCAGCCGGCAACAGAAGCATCCCAACAGCAGCGCCACAGGTGCTTGGCCGTCTTGATATTCAGTTGAGAATCCGCAAATGGCTTTGTGGGCTGTGTCCTTGTGAGAGCAAGCACTTATGTCGTGGTACCCTGTGCATGGTGTCCTCACCATTGTCAGCAACACAGAGGCTACACAGCACTGTGCGGTTTGGACAGACAAGGGAAACACATCTGGATTGGGAAGCCACATTCAAAATGCTAACTAATGAAAATGCAAGCACGACATCTGGCGATCACCTCTGGCAGGGCCATGGTCGTGGGGATGGGGGGGGGCATTTGCCATGGATCCATTGTGTAGCGATGATATCCGAACACCAAGTGCCCCCTCCTGTTGTCACTAGTACTGAAAGCAGCAACAACAAGCAATCCAGGGGAAAATGTTGTGAGCAGGTGTCTGCAGCTGGCGGTACCATCCCTTCACTCTGTGCCTGCCACAGCCTGTCACCATTGGATCCATCATACACGGACCACTGCTGCATGAACTGTCCACTGTACAAGAATCCCAAGGCACAGGAGAAGCTCCTGAAATCTGTGATACACACGCATGCACAGTGATGCACCAGACAATGTGTCATCGTGTGTTGGGCATTTGAAGTTGAAGCAGCATAGTAGCATAGGGGATGTGATCTGCTGTAGTCAAGGTGAGTGGGCGACTGGAGAACAAGGAAACTGTGAAGATGTGCTGGCAACTTGGGGCACAAACATGGGAATGCGTGCCTGTGAATGAAAGCAAAGGAAAACCGACGCTTGGGACAATACCAATTTGCGCAGATACATACCACAGAGGCTTGTCTCTGTGAGCTAATGTGAACAGCTGTGACTTTCTCCTTGCGTGTGCTTTTCCGTGCTTTGCCCCCGAGCGGGCTGGGCACAGCATCCAACACGCTGAGCCCTTGCTGGTTCTGTACCAGCTCAAGAGAATCGCCAGTACCTATTAATTCACAGAGCATCCCCTGGGTCCCATGGCAACGGCAATACCTGCAATCCAATATGAACGTCATCAGCCAAGCGTTTCTCAACTTCCATGTCTGTCACTTGCTTCGATGCATCGGAGGTGCTGCCGATGTTCTCTTACACCACTGTGCGCCCATGGACATGAGAGTTTGACCACTTTGTGCGAGCACCCTGAGCCGGAGTCCTAAAGCCAGCAGCAAGCCTTCAGATCAGTGGCCTTGCGGTCCCAACCTGCTTTGCCATGATAGCGCAGGTCCATCTCTCACCCAGGGGCCGTGGAATGTCTTGACAATGCAGCATAGTTGTTCACTGCATGGCATGCAGAGCAGCCCGTCCAATGCTGGTCGCCGTTTACAAAGTATATCATAGATGTGCTGCAAGCATGAAAAAACTGGTGCTGGTCGGCATCAAATGCTCATTTCCCATTGCAATCCAATATTGTGTTGTTAACAGCTTTTTCATGCTCGTTTCCAAACTGCAGACACTTTTCAAGTGGCCAGTTCCTTGTCAGGCTGTCCAGGAGCAATGCACCTATCTCTCTCGGCAAACCACGAACATTCTCAAGCATCCGGCCATCCCTATCCATCTGATACGGGAGTCGTCCTTGCATCCGTGGCCATTCCTGGGAATGGCAGCGCTGGCTACCCCATTTCGCAAGGAAGTCGGGCCAAACCAGGTCGTGCTTGCGATGGCTGTCTGCCAAATGCCCGCTGCAATCAGCACAAGGTGTGCTTGTCCCCATTGGATACCTGGGCACACACACTTAGGAGAATCTGCTGAGCAGATCCACTGTGGCAGATCCGATTGGCCCACAGCAGCTTGTTGGTGTTGCGGAACGGGCAGCAACATTGCTTCACATTCGCCAAAGCTGCAAGGGGGCCACCGTCTCCTCTAACATCGCCAACACGGGCAGTCAGCGTCGTCCTGCACCCTGTGTAGAGGCTTGTGTTTCAGTGGACGTCCTACATTGCACCCTGAAGTTGCACTCCTGGGTTGATGTACTGTTGTGTTGGCATGCCACCTCTTTTGATTGGCTGTGGGAGGTACACTGCATCGTATGCCACCATGCATACACCCATAGCAATGGATGCTGTACAACATGGACTATCGTTTCTTGTTTTTTGCCTTCTTGACATTCTTCCTCTTTGCACTCTTTTGTTTTCTTCTCGCCGCTGCACCTGTGTGCAGCACACACTTGGGCTGTGAGTCTGCAGCAGCGGCCACCACGCAAGCCGTTGAACAAGTGACGAACAAAGGGCTGCTTACTGGGCACAGTAGAGGCCTTCCCCGCCGAGCACACACCACCCTGATGTGCCCCCGGGTCTTCAAGTGCTGCCTTGGTGGCACTGATATCTATGCACCCTGGCACCAACAGCATAAGGCAAGGGTCAAGTACAACACAAGTGGGCACTGCAATCCACAGCTGCAAGCTCAGCGCACGGGAGAATGTGGAGAACCTGCTAATTCTCCCCAGGCCCACAACTGTCTAAATTATCTTTGGCTGAAGCAGATATCGGGACAGCAGTCTTAGCCTGGTTGACTGGTTGATGAGTGTGTGGTTGTAAACTGCTGGATGAACCACGACAGCACATGTGCAGCTTTGGGCCCCCTTTCATCACTTCGAGTAGCAACAACACATGAGGGCATCAGGACAAGTACAAAGCCAGGGGTTGTCTAATACCATGCAGTGGGGGTAGCTTCAAGAGATAAAGGCGTGATTCCTTTGGCACCAGTTGCACCTTCAGACATTGTTTATATCTGTCGTAATCTCCTCAAATCGTCAATTTTCGACTGTGGAAAGCAGTATTTGTAGGGCCATGCTGACTGTATACAGTCGGTTTCCAACTGCCAGGTACAGGGGTGCGATTTGCCAAACGTGATAAGAGCAGTCAATCAGAATTCAGGCAAGAGCAGATGCGTTGTTGCGCACTAAAAGCCCCTTATCAACTGCATATCACCTGCAAGGATGGTTCAGAAATGCTACGCAACAAAAGGCTCACTCAGGTGCTCCCGAGTTGATACATTCTGAACAAGCATAGTTGATGAAATTTTCCTGCAACTTCCGGCATTTTACTCTCTGGAAGGAGAATCTAGCTCAAGCTATCCTTACATAGTGCACAACAGTATTTTCTGCATTTTTGTGACTGCGACCAGGCAGACAGTACTTCTCACTTTCCCACCTTGTGTCGATGCCAAGGGCATCCCCAGACTCTGCGAATCAGCAAGGATCTCTTCCAGGAACTTCAATGCGAATTCGCTCGTCTTCCTGCCCTTGTTGCTGCCTTGTACTTTCACTGGCTGTTGAGGTTCTGCGCTCTTTTGTGGCTTTTGTGCTAGCTGTAACAAGGGAATGCTATTGAGTTTGCTTGTCAGATCCAACCAAGTTGGAATCGCAGGATTGACAGGTTCTTGTAGGACATATCACCATCAAGGCTGCATCACCAAGCTTGCGGCTGAAATCTTTGTTCCTGGATTGGCTATTTCACCAGGCTCAAAGAGAAAAATCTCACTAGCAACTGCACTGCAAATACAAATGTACTCGGCGACCACCACATTAATCCCAAGAGCCTTCAAGTCACAGAGCAACTGTAGATTAGGACACAGGGTTAACAGGCCAACCACATATATACAACACCAGATGCAGTGCAAGTGCCAGCACACGGCAAGCATGGCTACGCCTTTCCAGCCGAATGCAGCATCACAATACACCTTTAGTACACAAATTTGCGCAGAAGTCTCTGTCGCACCCACCTCTCTGAGCATCTGCTTCTGTTCCGGTGCCAGGTCAGGTATGGCACTGTCAATGAACCTGGCAGCGGCTGGCAAATTCACAGTTGCTGCTCGGCTTGTGGTGGCCAATTCGTGCTCATTGACAGCTCGTGCCACTTTCGCTGTGTACTGCACCACACGGTCCTGCATCGGATACACAATATCAGGGATTGTTCTGCACAAAGTCCCAACTGGCAATTTGTCAGACGTGTCGTACAGCAGCACCTCCTCCCTAACAACAGGTATGCTGCTCCTTCATGCGATGGAGAAGATGACGCACAAGCTGTTGGAGAAAAAACAAATAATCATGCAGATGCAACTCGGGTAGGGTTGGCAACGACGGTGATATCTGGGCATCGCAGGGCCCACAGCTTGGACCTGGCACAGAAACTTGGGCTGATCTGCACTGGAGAGAATGGGAATCGGAGGCTGGCTGTCAGCAGCACCAAAGCCACGGCCTGCCATCCCAATATAGGTTGATCCCTGGGGTGGGGGTGGGGGTGGGGGGGGTGGGGGTAGTGTGCTGCCTATTGCAACTGGGAAAGATGGGCAGGACCCTCAGTCGAACTGCCAGGCAACGACCGATGCAAAATTGAGAAACTGACGACAACCCACAAGGCATCGCGTTGCGCTCTCAGGCGAATTTTCTTGAGGCCGTTTTCAATACTTGAAGATGGTGCGTGGGTGTCCGAGTGCAGGTGACATAGTCCGTGTCTCCTGCACTCGGACACTCATGCACAATTTTCTAAGTATGAAAAATGGCCTCAAGAATTTCAATATCAGTAGTTCAACGTCTGACACGTTCTGTTTTCTGTTACGAAGGACAATCAGCACCCAATTCTGCGCTTTCGACCCGCACACAAAACGGTGCCGAGAGACTTCCGAGTCCAGCGCGAGCGCCGGCGCGATTTCGCATCTGCTCACGAAAGTGCTCCACTCGCCCGGGGGGGCCGCCGCACCTTCTCAATTTCGGCTTCTCGAGCGCCATCAGTCCCCAATCCCCTCGATTTGCAGTGCAGCTGGTACAGCGCCACGGAGGCGCGGGACACGGCGGCGTACCACTGGGCCCTCTCAAGGGGACCGAGCTAGCATCAGCACACCGCCGCCAATTCAGCAACAGATTTCACAGATTCAGCGTCCGCGGGTCGAATTCGCTTGCATGGAAATGCCCGAAGGGTCTGCATATGGGCTGCAGCGAGCCTGCCCACCTCTTCCTCCAATTCTTTCGGCCCCACGTCCAGAAAGGGCTGCAGCTCCCTCCGCAGCCAGTCGAGCTTCTCCTGAGCCAAGCGGAAAGCAATCGCTCAGCCCCGCGGCGCGGATGCGATCGAAAGGCGGCGCCGACGGCCCAGGCAGGCGAAGCCACCCTCACCGCGAACGCCTCGGTCTGCCTGCTCACTTCCTCCGGAAGAGCGACGTCCATGGCCACCCACACCCGGCTCCGCCCCAGTCCGGCACCGGCGCGCTCAACACCGTGCGAAACCACAACTCCCACGCACGCGGCGTGCTTGAGCACGGCACCCAAAAACCGGCGCTGGTCCCTCTGGCCCACACTGGTATGCCCCCTTGCAAAAATTCTGCACGTGCGCGTACTTTGCACCGCAAACCAAACCAATGTGAGCAGGAAAACCAGGGCGTTGTCATCATTATCGGGTTAACCGTACGCCCTCACGCACGCTCGCACACGGTCGCTCCTCAGGCACGGGAAGCGATACCGCAAGCAGATGCATTACAAGACGACCACATCAACTATATAGTGTTCACAGGAAATGTCCCCATTCAGTCACCCACTATTCCCACATTCACCATGTTTTATCACCATGTTCACAATGACAAATTACACCGTATTTAACACCATTCACCTTATAATTATCCGTTGTATATTCGCCGCCCTCACACGCTTCCCTGCGCTAAACAATCACTCTTTCAACAACTTCGTCCCTCAGATTGCATCCCTGTACGGCCTAAGCATGTCCGTATGCCTAACCCAGATTTTCCCCTCTGGCCCAAGCACCTCCCAAACTGCATTCGTTATAGGGCGAATCAACTGCCCCGGGCCCCTCCACCACGGTTCGAGCTTGTCCTTCAAAGTCTCGACTTTTGTGTTCCACAACCACACTTTGTCCCCTGCCTTGAATGTTCGCTGGATACGCCGCCCCTTTGTCCTGTGGTTTGCCTTTGCACGCTGCTGTCGTGCGTACTCGTGTAGCTGTCTCCACACAGCCCGAGAACTGTTCCACAACTGGTTGGGTGATCCAAACACAAGAGACTTAGGGGTCTCCTTACTCTCCTCTGGAGAAGAGAGAGGTGTGCCGTTGTAGATAGTCACTGCCTGCTCGACCATCCTGGCAAAATACTTGGGTTCCTCTGCCCACATTCGCCTCAAACGATTCAACAATGTTTGATTGAATCGTTCCACAAATCCAATGGATGCGTGGTGGTAGGGAGGTGAGTACTCTTGCGTCACTCCCTCTCGTACGCACCACTCCTTCAACTCCTTGGATTGTGTTGCCTTGCACACATCGGAACACAAGATCGAAGGTGCCCCATGCATTTGCGCCCACCTTTTTAGCCCTCTCACAATGTCTGCCCCTCCCGCACCCGTCACTGCCCACGCTCCCGCACGCCTGGTCAACATGTCCACTATGACAAGAACAAATCGCTTCTTTCCTACTTTCCTCTCAGGGAAAGGCCCCATGAAATCCAAGCCAATAACTTGACCTGGTTTCTCCGGCATATGCCAACTCCCAAATGGGTTAGATGGTTGTGGTCGGTGAAATAGCTGGCACTCCTTGCATGATCGCACCTTGTCAGTTACCCACTGCCACGTTGGACGCAGACCCATCTGGCGAAAACGAAGATATGTCTTCTTCACTCCGAAATGTCCTGCGTGGGCCTGCTTCCATTGTGCCTGAGTAATGACCAAAGAGCGAGGTTCTTCCACTGCGTGAACATGAGATAATCCAGAAATCC